ATTTATCACAAATGTTTACATGTACATAAAGAAAGCCCCACATAGAAATCTACTGCATTATAAAAGTAACTGACTTAACTAATGTCTTTAAAGAATAGAACACAATTCTAATTTGATAAATCAAAACAAAACAAATTATTAGCTAAATACATGTCAAATTTCAACCTAATAGCCGTTTTTGGACAATATCGATTTTCCTGGTCATTTTTTACTATTAAACTATCAAGTTTTCAGTACCTTTATGGATGTTTTACAAGCATATGGTTCTCTTTGCTTTTTTTGATAACATTTTATTTATTTTATGAATATTTTAAAGTTTAAGATTCCTTTCTCTCTCTACTACTGCAAAAAACAACAATGAATTAATATTTTGACTATTTCAAGAATCATAGAAATTGATCAGACATTTCTTGATTGTCATATACAATTCCAAGATTACCATTTATGCAACTAAAAACACACCTAAAAGTCTTGGGACAATAGCTTTGCTATCTTCTTGAATGTTATATTTTACAATGTAATACTTGTTATACAAACTACCACAAAAATATCCAGATTTTCTACATTGGTTGAATTGCAAAAAAAAACTAAAATAAATAAGAAATTTGCAGTACTCAATATACTAACAATTTTATAATCTATGAACATATGGAGACTAGGGCTGGTTGCATCTGACATATAACAACTCTGTCAGTTGTTATTGATTAATCAATTCTCATTTCACACCATTTTGAAAAAAAATTTTGTTTTCATTTACAATATGATATATTTTTACATAACTGATTAGTGTGAGGCAAAGTTATCAGTGACAATATAATGTGAATGTTTTTAAAGACAAGAATTACTGGTATTACTAGCAGTGCAAAATGAATGTCTTTAAACTTTTGGTATTTTTAAACTAAACAGCATCTTATGGAACAAACAAGTTAAATGGTCAAGTCAAAGATACCAAGGTTCAGATGCAACCAATGGGACAAACAAGTTAAATGGTCATATCAAAGATACCAAGGTTCAGATGCAACCAATGGGACAAACAAGTTAAATGGTCAAGTCAAAGATACCAAGGTTCAGATGCAACCAATGGGACAAACAGGTTAAATGATATAGTCAAAGATACCCAAGGTTCAGATGCAAGCAATGGAACAAACAAGTTAAATGATCAAGTCAAAGATACCAAGGTTCAGATGCAACCAATGGGACAAACAAGTTAAATGGTCAAGTCAAAGATACCCAAGGTTCAGATGCAACCAATGGGACATAAGTTAAATGGTCAAGTCAAAGATACCAAGGTTCAGATGCAACCAATGGGACAAACAAGTTAAATGGTCATATCAAAGATACCAAGGTTCAGATGCAACCAATGGGACAAACAAGTTAAATGGTCATATCAAAGATACCAAAGTTCAGATGCAACCAATGGGTCATACAAGTTAAATGGGCAAGTCAAAGATACCAAGGTTCAGATGCAACCAATGGGACAAACAGGTTAAATGGTCAGGTCAAAAAATCCAAGATTCAGATGCAACCAATGGGACAAACAGGTTAAATGGTCAGGTCAAAAAATCCAAGATTCAGATGCAACCATCCCCAATTTGGAACTGCTGGTCAGGAGGAGACAAATTGGTGAAGAACAAGATTGAGTGAATATTTGGCCCACAGCTCAAGGTACAGCATGTTTAGTAGTGTATTGTGGCCTCAAAAATTGGATTTAGTCACCCGAAACTAAAATTTCATCCCAAAGTTGTTACTAATATCATAAATAATAATGGGATTTTGATTTTTTTTATTACTATTAGTGACACAGCAAAGTAAATGTCATAAATATGAAAATTAGATATTTATTTCAGAATTAGTACTTAAAAGACGGTAAATTTCCTAAAAGGTTGGGATAAAAATTTAATTTCCAAATTATTAGTGACAAGTCAAAATAAACATCTTGAAAATAGGAATTCAGTTTGCATCCAATAAAACATTACAATTGATGTCAAAGTTTCTTACTATTAACGTTGAACAGATATTGAAAAACTAGTTTTGGCGTGGTAAAGCTCTACAATGATGTGATGAAGACTTAATTTTGTTTGACGAGCAGTTTTTTTAGCACAGCACAAATTCTACTGGAATGTAATAAGGAAAATTACCTTAAGGCAGAAGAAACTTTAATATAACTTGATAACTACAAGAAAAGATTACACTTTTGAAAATAATTTTCTCCCATACTTTAGTCTAAATTATCAATGTACTCAAAAGTATGTATTTGTTTTTACTTTAACTTTTAAATTTAAGTGATTTACAAATTTTACTTAACCATTTTAATGTTAAACCATAAATACTGAGGTAAAGGAAAAGAATTATTATTATGAGCAAAACTTTGGATCTTACATAAATGTAATTACACCATAATAATCAGCTTTCATACACATCCGAATATCAGATCAACAATGCCAAAGAACAGATAATTCAGAGGCAACATTTTCATTCCCTACATTACTAATGTAATAATACCACAGAAGATAGTTAAATCAAACAGTGAGTGCTAGATAAAAAAATTAGTTAACCTTATGTACTGTCAACAGCCACAGTTTTAAATACTGGTTACATGCTCTTACAGTTTGCTGCATAATATGGAAACTTGAACTTTAATTAACATTAAAATCAAGAAATGCACAACATTCCTCCCATGATCATCATGTTTAATCACATCTCAACTAAAATAAATTATTTTCATGTGTTCCTTTCTTACAAACAGATATAAATGGGAGTGAAAAAAAACTCAATCAAGGGTAAAGAAGACTGAAGAGTTACTGTGATTATAACTGAAAGGTTTCTCACAAGATAACTAACATGTTAAGAATCGGGTTAACACATACACAGCGTTATCTGTAGAAACAGTTTCTTTATAAACCTTGTATAATCACACTTCATATAGTGCAAGGGAGTTGTCACAGAGCTGTTGTTAAATTATATCACAACTGGCTTAGTCTAAAGGATTTTGACTTGCTATACACCATACTAATGAAGGAATCTGATAATCAGCTTATCTGATGCAGGGGTAACTAGTTTTCCAACACAAACAGATTTTTTTCTGTACAATCAGTCAAGGCTCCAATAATTCTAACCTATTTTTTCAGTGACAAAAACTAGTCAGTGTAAGGTTTACTTTTCTGTATTTTTGAATCTTCCCTTTGTTTTTTCTCCATTCCTTTCCTTCCCACTTTTTGCCCTTTTCCAAGACCTAGTACTCTTCTCAAACTTTCCAAGTGTCAAAACAATCCCCGAATCTCTTGGAAGCTTGTTTGAATGTCAAAACAATCCCAAACCTTTTGGACATTTGTTCGGAAGAATATTTGCTCCTAAGTTAACATTTTTCTCAGAAAACCAAACTTAATGAAAAACGTGCTTGCAATAATTTAAAAATATCAATGAAACTAATTATTTTATGTAATTACTGAAATAAATACAGACACAGCTTCAACGAATCTTATAAAGCTAATAAGTACAAAATCATGAGTTTCTAAAGCTGAAATCTTCCACTGAAGATGACAAAAGTACTGGGATTTTTCATTTTATTATAAACCAGTCTCAGACTCAATACATCTAGGGACATTTAGCAATATTTGGCATGTACATATGAAGAAATTACACTGAAAAATCAGACCATAAATAGACTCTGTCTGCTGTCTCTACTTAAAAGTTGTCCAGAAAACATGTACATTGTATAGTTTATATTTCCTAGAATCTACTAAATTGAATCTGAAACTCTGCATGCTCGATACTTTTGCTTAAGAACCTTTTTCATTTCACATTATGATGGCAGCAAAACAAAATTAGGCTAAAAAACTACTGATTTATAATTGCCAGTTCTAAAGGTTTATCTTTACAATCATTGTACACATTCAAAATGTTTCATACAATTTTGAAAAACCCAAATATTGCAAATATATAAGCTTATACAACTTGACAATGCATCAAAGAATTCTCACTAAACTATTAATCACACAGAATAAGGTTAAAGTATAGAAAATTAGATTCTAAAATGTAATAAATCCATAGTCACAAGCATTTTTGTTAAACTGAAAACAAAAAACAAAGAATTATTTTAAAATAACTAAGGATATATGCAATAACTTTATGCTAAAGAAGACATTTCAAAAGGTTAGGATGATGAATAAAAGTGAGATGAAAACAAGACAAGATATAGATCAAAGTTAATGCAAGGATCTTGGTTGGGGAAAATGAATGCATTAGAACAATCTTATTAACATTACAAAACATTATATTTAAAAACTTGTTCACCCAAACAATAAACAGAAAAAAAAAGGGGGGACTAAATGTCTGGTACAGGTTAAGTGCTCTAAAAGCACTTTGTCATCAGTAACTGCAATAAAATACACATTTCCGTGTTTCAAATCACATCATGAAATACTATATTCTCTCGCAGAGAAAGAATGAAGTTTTGGTCCTCACTAGCAAAATAATATATATGTATATATATCAGATCATACCTACCAAAGACATCATCTGGGACCTTACAATCACCATGTCCATTGTATGTTATGTACCCAAATTAAAATCTAAGCATGGAATTAAAACTAGACAAAATACAAATTATATATATATACACTAGGTAATAAATGTAATCACTGCATTCTTCACTGGAAGTATAAGAAAGCATAAAATTACTTCTGAAATTCTTAAACAGAATGCTTTTCCAGACTATTGTGATGACATGAAAACATTTTTCTTCAATACAACCACACAGCTTGAACACATATCTTTTGTTACCATTAGCACAAATTTTGAAGCAATTTCAAAGTCCCATTCTCACTTTTAAATCAGTCAAAATAAATGCAGAGTTCTGAAGTACACAATGTCGAAAAAAAACAAAACTCCATAATCAGGTTTTTCAATTAAGTAACACATCATCTTAGAACAATAAGCAGAAATTTAAACTTCATGATTTTTGAATCAATACAACAGTATGTTTTAAAACAGTCTAAGAACACTTCAATACTTCATTACCCAATATAGAGGTCTTAGTTGCATTTGACCAGTTTCAAGAGATTAGGTGTATCAGTAATCTACTGAAATACTGGTGTAAATACAGGCTCCAGTCCTGAAGTACTATAACTACGAGACACGGTGCACTCTTTGTTATCCATATACTCATTTAGGAAGGTGACAGACCCATAGAACTTTTCCTGTTCTTCTTGTTGTTTGATGAAATCTTCTTCAAGTTTCTTTAATAGTAATGAGAGTTATTATTTCAAAACATGATGATGCAGTATATACATACATTGTTTATCTCAAGTACACTATTGAACTAACACACACAGTTAACAGGTCACTCACAATCAGTCACTTTTTATTCATAAATACTTTAAACATTCAGTATAGCTTTTCTGTGTTGAAACATTTTATTTTACTAAAAGTTGAGGTGTCAAGAAATGGTTATACATTACAACCAGTTGCAACCTTAACTGAAATACCAAAATTAGATCGCACGTTTTTGCACAAAGCTACATACAGATGGCTAACCTTAATTCTAAATTAACAGACCAGGTGGAAGGCAAACCATCGACAGTCTTAAAGTCTGAAACTTATTTCTGTAGAAACATGATGCAAACCATTAACAGATCACACAAAGTTGTCCAGAAGAAAACTGCACTATACCATACCAGTCAAGCAAGACAAACATCAGAGAATATCACCAAAACTGAGAAGTATTTATTTAGGCAGTGTCTCCTGTCTCTACACTACCCTAAATCATTGTACAGGTGATAATAGTGGGAAATTTCTTTATTTAGAATAGTGACAGAAGTTTCAGTTACAGACTAGCAACTTGGCATGTTCATGTCTTTTGTGTTTCTCAGTCCACGTTTCTGAAAATAGTTATTTTCTGCTGTAGTTGAGTGTAAACAACTATTTTCGAAACATACCTTCATCTCTGACATTAAAAGCACCAATCACAACAGCAGCACATGACCAGAATTTCTGCAACATATGGCAACAGATCCTTGAAAACACCTTCTTAGAACTCTTGAACATCATTACCCTAAATAATTATATTCTCTTTACAAATGTAGTTTAGTGACCCAACATTTCTTTTAAATAGTAATAGAAAAATATTTAAGTACAATTTCCTTTCTATAGGATGGAAAATTAAAACAGGAAATAATTGCTACTCGTAAGCCTTACATTAAATGGTGGTTAAGAATCATTTTCAACTCAATACAAGAAAAAAACTATACTTGGATAATAAGTGTCAGAACTACGGTACAAGATTCAGTGTTTCTGTTATCTGTTTAAGATTGTTGGTACAAGATTCAGTGTTTCTGTTACCTGTTTAAGAGGTTTGAGATTGTTGGTACAAGATTCAGTGTTTCTGTTACCTGTTTAAGAGGTTTGAGATTGTTGGTACAAGATCCAGTGTTTCTGTTACCTGTTTATTAGGTTTGAGATTGTTGGTACAAGATTCAGTGTTTCTGTTACCTGTTTAAGAGGTTTGAGATTGTCGGTACAAGATTCAGTGTTTCTGTTACCTGTTTAAGAGGTTTGAGATTGTCGGTACAAGGTTCAGTGTTTCTGTTATCTGTTTAAGATTGTCGGTACAAGGTTCAGTGTTTCTGTTATCTGTTTAAGATTGTTGGTACAAGATTCAGTGTTTCTGTTACCTGTTTAAGATTGTTGGTACAAGATTCAGTGTTTCTGTTACCTGTTTACGAGGTTTGAGATTGTTAGTACAAGATTCAATGTTTCTGTTACCTGTTTACGAGGTTTCAGATTGTTGGTACAAGATTCAGTGTTTTTCTTACCTGTTTACGAGGTTTCAGATTGTTTTTCCAATCTTTCAACTCAACAGTGTGTTCTTCTTCCAACTGTTTCAGTTTAGCGGTCTCATGTTCCATTAGCATCTTTCTTTTCTCGTTCTGTATATATGAGAAAACAATGTTTTAACAGATCACATAAACAATAGAGAAAAACTTTTCAAATCTCTTCACCATGATTTGCATAGTGATTTCTTTGTTTCTCAAGCATTACATCTTTTACCATTGTCACTTAAGCCTAATTATCAATTAGTAACTAATTTAGATAATGAATATTTATTTAAATCCTACATTTGGGCTGCTAATCTGTGGACAAGTCCTGAGAAGGGCTATATGTGGTGGCAGGGAGTTGACTCTGGGTCTTCTTGTTAGAAAGACTGGTTTGTCATCTACTGTATATTAGGACTGAATCAACTATATGGATGATTTTAAGCAGTATCTAGATCTTGCAGATTTCTATGCTAGACTAAGCAAGTGTTATTATTTATGTCAGAGCTTCCCAAGCTGGAGGCTACATGAAAGTGTCAGGGGGGCCACAGCAAATACACAATACTGTTAAGGTACTCGGTACCTACAGATTCATTAGGTGGGGGGGTCAGGATGTTCAATAACATGGTGGCCTTTGGAATCTCTGAATCATGTGGATGAGTGGATAACGCACCAATTTTTCTAACAAAACCCAGGATCGAATCCCAGTCTCTGCCAACTCATACAATCCTTCTCAGACTTCCCCCAAAACAGCAGTGGATTAGCAGCTGAAACATACAACTTAATTATTAATTACTATATATTATTTTCTTTATCATACCAGGCTAATGACACTGATATCTTACATGTCACAACTAACTGTAAGCACTTAAGTTATATTTTACAACAAAATAACATAATTTAATCTTTCTATAGCATTTACCAATCACAACAAACAATAATTTGTACAAAAATAATACGTTTCTACAGCATTACTGTTCAGTATAAAACATCCTTTGTACACTAAAAGAACAATGTTTTTAAAAACATAAATAAAATCAAAACCTATGTCTCCAGAATGTGACTATTAGCTCAATATTTTACTGTTTTTACTGGAGTTTATTATGAGACATTTCTATAAACATAAATATAATCATGTCTCCAGAATGTGACTATTATTAGCTCAATATTTTACTGTTTTTACTGGAGTTTATTATGAGACATTTCTATAAACATAAATATAATCATGTCTCCAGAATGTAACTTTATTAGCTCAATATTTTTGCTATTACAGCTTCATCAGGAGCTATAGATATCCTACAAGTTCACTAATTCACTGAACTTGTAGAATATCGATAGCTCGTGGCAAAGCTGTAACAGCAAAATATTGAGCTAATAAAGTTACATTCTGGAGACATGATTATATTTATGTTTATAGAAATGTCTCATAATAAA